TCTTAGTATGCACTTCAAAACTCTTAATTTCAAAGCCTCTTCCCTATTTTTAGGTATTGGTTAAAACAGCATACACACTTCTCAGTACCAGTTTTTGTCTTACTCTATTTGGGTTTTTTTTTAACAAAATAACATAAACTATTGCTTATAAACAACAAAAATTTATTTCTTACAGCTCTAGAGGCTTCAAAGTCCAAGATCAAGGTGACAATGGATGTGGTGTCTAGTGGGGCCCTTTTTTTGGATTATAGATGATGAATTCTCATGGAGCCCTCATGTGGCTGAAGGGGCAAGGCAGGTCTCTAGGGCCTCTTTATAAAGGCACTAATCTTATTTATGAGGGTGCTGCTGTCATCACCTCAAAGCCCCACATCCTAAAGCTATCACCTTGAAGGTTAGAGTTTCAACATATAAATTTTGGAGGTACACAGACATCTAGATTATAGCAGAGCATGTTTCACCAAAATTGGTAACTGTCTCATGTAAGAGATGGGATTGGAGCTGGACCTTAATGGATTAGCAGGACTTCCACAGACAAGGGTGCAGAGAGGCAGCCAAGAGGAAAATTCAGAGGGTAACACATGCAGAAACAATGGCTGGAGGGGTTGGTGTTCAGGAGTGAGGGGGATGTATTCTGTCTTAAATCTATGTGTCTCACTTTAGGAACAGGATGGGCTAATTCCATTGAGTATCCCATCCTAGCCCGAAGGAAAGTTTGAGACCTGGTAGGACATGACACATTCCAAAAGATATAGGGTGCAAAATCAGCGCCTCTTTCCTGAGGAGTCCAGAAAGCTTCCCCAGAGGAGTGCTTCTCAATATTTCACCCTCCAAGGGACATTTTATGAGATACTTCTGGAGTATTTTTGATTGTCACAACTGGGACAATGAAGACGGTACTACTGGAATCTAGTGGGTAGAAACTAGGGATGCTGATGAACTTTACAGAGGGAGAGTTTGTGTGCCCCCAAATCCATACGTTAAAACCATAACACCTCAATGTGATGGTGTAAGAAGGTTGGGCCTTTGGAAGGTAATTAGGTTCAGAGAGTGGAGCCTTCATGAATGGGATTAATGCCCTTATAAGAAAAGCATAAGATCTCTCTCTCTCTCTCCCCACGCCCTGCCACTTCCTCCCACATCTGCAAATCAAGAAGCCAGCCCTTACTAAACGCCAGATTTGCCAGCACCTTCATCTTGGACTTCTCAACCTCTAGAACTGTGAGCAAGAGATGTTTCTTGTTTGCCATCCAAACAAGATGTATGTTTGTTACAGCAGCTCAAATAGACGTAGACAGACCCCAAATTTCTATAGTCAAGAAACTCAGCTAGTGAGCCCACAAGGGATGTTACTCAATCAGTCAGTACTTCATGATTTCAAGTAGTGATGGAAAATTTATGTCATTAGACTCAGTTCTTCATCTGTTTGCGATAGGTCCACAGGTGTGCATAATCTTAAAATCAAACCCAAAACATAGTAGTTACAGATTTATTCAGCAAATTCACAGGATTCCTGCTACTTGCTCAGTATTGCTGTAGCTGGAAAGGTGGTAAACAAATTCCCAAACCAAAGAGCACATACATCTTGTGTGTAAGAGTAGGGAGATTTGGTCCTGTAGTGACAAATGTCCTCCTATTTGCCATCAGCAATATGGTTTGCTCAGTGTGAGTCATGCTGCCCTTGCTAGGTTGATGGCTGGAATGATTAATCCACCCTGTTGGGGCCTAATCTCCTTAGGCTCAGTTCCCATCTGGGTCCCACCCAAGTTCCATCAAAGGGAGGCCTCTATCAGCTCATTCCCATGCACGAAGCGGGCGGAAAAGGGTGTGGTGGAGAACATGCTCACAGTCTGTCCCCTTAGAAGGTGCAAGACCCAGCAAAACCAGAGAAGAAGGTGCCCTGTGCAAGCCCTGGGGAAGATGGGCTCAGCTTTAGCTCTGGAAGGTGCCAGCCTGTGTGGGCAAGTCCAACATGAGACTTGGCAGAGCCACGGCCCTCAGGCAGTTAGCCTGAGACAGCCACCATTCCAGGCTGCCTTTCCTGAGGTCTTCAGCCACGTTCCCACAGTCTGGGTAGGGCCCTGCAGGGAGATAGGAGTTGAACAGGCTCAGCCCACCCCTCTCCTAGGATTGCCTCTGTGACCTTGCCACCTTGGGGGACCAGGTGGGCAACAAGAGACCACACAGTCTGCCTGGGATGCAGGTGGGATGAAGACCCAACCAAGTCCTCACCGACCCAGGCAGCGACTCTGAAAAGTACAAACAGGCAGCTTATTCATTCCTCTGTCTGAGATAAGTGTCTACTTAGCCCTACTTTATAAGTGCTGGGAACTCTGCCGGGTTCTGGAATGTGGAAATGAATGAAGTGCTCACGTTCCTACTGTCATGGAGCTTGCAGTCAGATCTACAAGCCACCAAGAGAAGCCCAGAATCCAGCGAAGTATTGATTATTGATCAGACCTGCACTGATGTTCATCATTTAGTTTTGTTCATCATTTAGCCTCATCTGCAGAATGGAGACACAGTCCCTAAGGCTGTGAGGGTTGTGAATTTGGGGAGGTTGGGAGACCACCCATCCTTACACACATGCCACTGGTCAGGGGCCAGGTGGGATTTGAACCCAGGTGTGTCATTGCTTCCTTCAAGCCCCACATCCCCTTCTGATTCATCCTGTTATGAGCCTTCTTCCTTCTTCTAGATGGAATTAGTTTCTTTTCCCAGGAGAGGGAACACTTGGAAACTTGGAGACCATTATCTACTTGGTTTTTAGATTTATCTATTTCATTTTTTTTCCGTTCACTGAAATCTATATGCACACACTGGATGCTTGCATCACGCCCAAAGCTTCACTATAGCAGGTCACCCTGCACCTGGGTCACTCACAGCCTGTTTGAGAGGCAGCTCATACAGAAGTGCCTGGGACACAAGACAGATGATTATGCACACACAAGGGGTACAGACAAAGTCATTTGGGCACTCAGTGTCTTGGGCATGTGGAGACAATCGGTGAGGGCTTCAGGAAGGAGGTGATCTTTAAACAAAAAGGTAGTGAAGCTGTACCTGCTGGAAGGGATAGCAATGGTCCCTGACTGTGGGTACATGTCCACTTTGTAGTCACAGCACATGGTTAGCTGGACAATCGGCACACTGTCTTGCCTCTGATTAGCCTCATCTGCAGAATGGAGACACAGTCCCTAAGGCTGTGAGGGATGTGAAGCCACCTGCTTCTGCATCTGGAACATCTGATCTCATTAAAGCCCATCAGCCTTTTTCCAAGCCCATGGAGGTCCCCCACTGTAGCACAAAATGTCCCTTTGCCCCATCTGGAGTCCCAAGTGTGAACATGCATGTGGGTGGGGACAATGACCAAGTAGATAGAGAAGAGTGATGGAGAAGCAGGCGACAACCCCTCCAGCAAGAGCCCCCGCCACCCAGCCAAGACCCACCAAACTTCTCTAGGCTTTAAGAGGCAGGATCCTCCTCTGGAAACGTGCCAGCAAAAGGAAGGGAGTGTTGGGAGCAGACAAGGGCATGATGCACTCCCAGGTCTTTACCGCAGCCTGGTGGCATGCCCTCACAGGGACACTGATTGACATGCAGGATCTGGACTTGCTGGCTGGCCTGGCTTGGCACTGCCTACCCACGCCTGCCTCGCCCTCTGGCCTTGCCAAATGAATGAGCCTTCCTGCAAGTTTTCTCAGGACTGTCTGAGCAGAGGGAGAGCAAAGAACAGAAGCCTGTGGACAGGTGAAATTCCTCTGTGTCAATCCACACCATTGTTTCTCTTCCAAGTACTCAGTAACAAATAGGTCTAGCTGCCCGTTAGTCATATAAAGATCTTTGGGCATCCAACCCCCAACCAACTCCTTCTGACCATTCAGGCAGCTCCCGCAGATGGACTGGGGAATAATATTCATCTTGATCTTCAATTGGAGGAAGCCTAGGCCAAGCCTAGGGGGCTGTGGTTGTCAGGCTTGGACTACTGCCTGTTTTTGTAAATAAAGCTGTATGAAAATAGTCACCCCATTCATAGCATGTGCTTTCTGAGGCTGTTTCTGTGCTACCATGGCAAAGTTGAGCAGTTGCCATGGACTCTATGGCCTGCAAGGCCTAAAATATTTACTATATGGTCCTTCAGAGAGCAAGTTGGCCAATCTTCACCCAAAAGTATATCAGATTTTATACTGCTTTCATTCATTCAGGAAGTCATTAATTCAGTATGCTACTAGTCTGTTTCCCACCAGGCTATAAGCAATTGGAAAGCAGAGGCTGCCTTGTCCATCTTTGTATCATCCTCAGTGCCAAGCCCAGTGCACAGTAAGTTTATAGGAAATGTTTGTTGAATGGATGAGAAATGAATGCAATAAATGCATAAGCAAATAAATTTTCGGTCTCTGCCATCAGGGAACTTAATAGTCTAGTGGGAAAGACAAACCTAAAAGCAAATAAGTAAAATAAAATCTGGTAAGGTTTACCATAAGCACAGACGTATTTTCAGAGTAAAAGGCTCCTTATTCCATAGTGGAAGCTGATAACATCAGAACACGTTCTTGAAGAATTTTAAGAGTTTGTGTTTCTAATCCTAAAATGCACAAGTTTCAGAATCAGAGGTGACTGAAGGGGAGAGGAGTCTGAGTATTCATAGGTCTCTGAGAAGGGAAGTGAATTCACCCACTTTTTTCACTAACATTCACTGTGTGCCTCCTAAAGTCCTAGCCCTGACACCCCCATCGCTTATGCTTCTCTTTGCCCAGGAGCCACGCTGTGTGGCTTAGGCATGCCACTAACCTCGCCACACCTCTGGCGTCTGTTGTCATGTACAGCAGGATGATGATGCCCCCTTCATTTCCTGGGTTTTACAGGAAGATTCAGTTCCTAACACCTGCAATGCACTTGGACACGGAAGAACTCAGAAAGAGTCCACCTGAAACAGGATACATGATTTAGGGTTCACAACTGCAAAATGGCAGGCTGGTTTATTTGTCTGACCCACTTCTCACCATGCATGGGCAAAGCTCTTCATTCCCAGAGGCCTCCTCCTCTTGGGGGTCCCCCAAGGCCTTGTGGCTGATGCACTTTCCTGTGGGCCTGCTGAGGGTCTCCCACCTTGTTGCGTTGCCATGAGAAGCACAATCTTATCTTCTGGCATCTCCATACTGCAAACTTCACCAGCAGCAGCCACACCTTCACCAATAAGCGGTCTTTTCTGCTTGCGAAAAGGACCTTAAAAAAAAAAAAAAACAACCAAAAAGACATGTTTCTGTCTTTCTTTTCTTAATGGAAACAGATAGAGTTGCAGTCGCATTCTGTTGAAATAAAACTGCACCTGAGGCAGAAGCTGAGTCCGAAGATCCTATTTTAGTGAACACCCTGCCTGACAATTTTCCAGCCCTGCTGTCATCTCTCACCCCTCCCTCTTTGCCTTCCTCCCTCTCCTTTCTTTCCCCTTACTCATTCCTTTTCCCCCATTCTCAGCACAAAAGTTGGGGGGGGGAAGAAATTATAAGGTGGCAGGTACCACAATTGCCATGGATATCTAGTGCCATATATCTTGTCAAAAAAATCACCGCGCCCATTAAAAAAGAAGAAAGCAAAACTCAAGAAGAATGTGTGGTTATCCCACATTCTCATTCAATTTTTTCTTTTCTTTTTTCCTTTTTTTTTTTTTTGCTATTTAAATTTCACTGTATTTCTTTTTTTAACCTTTCCTGCAGATCTTTATATATAGGACACAATACACACAGAGACACATACACACACCTCACTCCCTCACTTCTGTCATTTAAAGTATGAAGAAACTAGTGAAGAAAAATCTATTTTCAGCCGTTCCTTGTTAGAACGCTTTTGCCACCGTGATGAGAGAAGTGGATTTCGAAGAAAGTCAAGGCGCTGATGAAGATGAAGGAACGTTCTGACCAGCAGCCATCTGTTCTGTTAATTAAATCCTGTGCACATCAAGTAGTATGCTCTTACGTAACTAATAATTAAGAACTAAAGGGAGATGTGTATGCAGCATCCACTATGAATACTTTCATATACTGAAAAAAAAAAAAATGAAGGCCCAGCCTTACCCTGGTCCGTAGTCCAGAGATGCTTAAACAGGCATTGATCACGGCCTTCAAACACAAAAACGAGATTCACGCCTCAGAGAACAAAGGTTTCTATCAGACGCCTTTTCTTCTGATGGTCCTTGTGCAGTAAAAATAAAGTCCAAACACTGTAATTTTTCTCGCAGAAAAGTTACAAATACTGTAGGTATCTTTAGAAACAGCTGCAAAAGTGGTTTCACTTCTGACAAGATTGGTGTTAATTACCAGCAAGGACTTCAGTATAATACTATTTAAATCATTTTAAATTATCCCTCTCAAAAATTAATTTTTCATCAAAGATTACACACAAAAAAATCATGATATCATCTCTGCAGCTGCGATTTAGTAATAATTTCATCTATTATTACCAATGTCAGTTGGATAAAAGAAAAAATGGCACCCCACCGTGCCGATTCCAGCACAGGCCATATATAGAAATTTTTAACTATCACTTATAATCGCTTTGATGAGCTTAAACCTCCTCTCAATTAACACCCTAAATGACACTGAGACATCTTAATGGGGGATGTAAGTAAGGGAAAAGACTTTAATCAAAGAATAAAGAGAAAAGTGCCAAGAGATAGGAGGGCTTGCTGCACACCTCTTCGTGTCCAATCCCATTGAAGTCCTTTATCGAGTTAGGGACCTTTTGTCATTCTGAGATCAAGGGGAAGTCTACATGGCGCGGGTAGAAAGACAAGTGGTTGCTCTATTCTCTTTGGAGATATAAAGACTTTTTCTAGGGCCCCCTGGCAGGACATCCAGATGAGAGGATGGGAACTCTGGAATGCTGTCACTTGAACAACTGCAATGAAGAGAGAAGGAAAAGGGAAGATATTGTTCTCTTAAGGCTGTCTTCTGAGCCGTCCCAGGGTAGCAGTTTTGGGGATCCAAGGCACTCACATGTAGGCACCCCAACTCATTCTCAGCAGGGCCAGAGAACAAAATGGGTCCCTCTAGACACATTCGAGTTATGCAAACTCACACAGCTGTGGGAACATTCCAGAAGGACATTTCTCAGACCGTTATTTTTTACCGTGAACTGCTGTTCCTGGGCTTTGGGAGGATGGGGAATAAAATGAAATAAAACAACATCCAAATGAAAACTGACCAGCATGCTTTACTCTTTTGAAATCATGTCCGTGGTGTCCATGGTGATTTTTGTTTCCAATTAAGACGTCCTAATGAACATGTGTTAGTGCCCATGCTCTACTCCCAGGAAACAAACCAGGCAATTAATGGCACTGCAGGAGCCCCAGTCTCTCTTTTTATTAATTATACTTTAATTTCTGGGGTATATGTGCAGATCTTGCAGGATTGTTGCACAGGTACACACATGCCATGACTGTTTGCTGCCTCCATCTTCCTGTCCCCTACATTAGGTATTTCTCCCAATGCTGCTTCTCACCAATCTCCCCACTCCCTGCTATCCCTCCCCTCCCCCACACCCCTGAACAGACCCCACTGTGTGATGTTCCCCTCCCTGTGTCCATGTGTTCTTATTGTTCAACACCCGCCTATGAATGAGAACATGCGATGTTTGGTTTTCCATTCTTGCATCAGTTTGCTGAGAATGATGATTTCCAGATTCATCCACATCTCTGCAAAGAACATGAATTCATCATTTTGTCCTGAATGGTATTGCCTAGGTTTTCTTCTACGGTTTTTATGGTGTTAGGTCTTATGTTTAAATCTTTAATCCATCTGGAATTAATTTTTGTATAAGATATAAGGAAGAGGTCCAGTTTCTGCCTTCTGCACATGGCTAGCCAGTTTTCCCAATACCATTTATTAATCAGGGAGTCCTTTCCCCATTGCTTATTAAACAGGGAGTCCTTTCCCCATTGCTTGTTTTTGTCAGGTTTGTCAAAGATCAGATTGTTGTACATGTGTGGCATTACTTCTGAGGCCTCTGTTCTGTTCCATTGTTCTATATCTCTGTTTTGGCACCAGTACCATGCTGTTTCGACTACTGTAGTCTTGTAGTATAGTTTGAAGTCAGGTAGTGTGATGCTTCCAGCTTTGTTCTTTTTGCTTAGGATTGTCTTGGCTATGTGGTAGGAGCCCCAATCACTTAAGCCATATACATATATTGGATTGAAAAAGCAAGTTTGTAAAGTCTCAAAAATCATATTTGCAAAATTAAAAGAAAGAAACTGGATTTTCAGATCAGCCCTAACTCTTTATATCTCTAAGCTACTTTAGCCTTCCAAAATGAGAGGCATGTCATACTCTGCCGTGTGCCAAGGTCTCGGAGAGAGGGTGACACATAAGCTACATTTTTGCTGGCAAAAAGCATAGTTTTCTGGATTCTGGCACAGAGGGCTAACATCTGTATGGTACCTAGGGCTGCCATCCAGCAGGAGCCAGGCTCCACATCAAAGCTCCACAAATAACCTATCATGGCAGGCCTCATTATCCAGGATTGAGAGAGGAGAAACCAAGGATTGGAGAGTCTGAGAAATGTCCAGAAAGTGACACAGACATACAGTCGAGAAGCCAGGATGTAAAACCAGGCCTCATGATGGTGGGCAAAACAGAGAGAACCTAAATCAAGATCTTTCTCCAGAATAAAAAGGTTTGGGTTGTCTTCACCTTTTGCTTGCCATACAGACATTATTGCCAACCCCCCTTCCCTCCTCTCACCCCAGCAAACTTGCTGGTATTACGCTATACTGTGTAGAATTTTAACTGTGTTTATTATGTGGTAAATTATCTTTTTACTTCATTCTTTTTGGATGTTACTTTAAACACACACAGACACTTGTGTGCATGGGTAAAAATTAGTGCAATAAAGTGTACTAATTGATGGGCTCATCCTTAATATCCACATTTTTCAAAACATCTTCCTTCGGGTATCCTTCTCTCAAGGACGTTTTCAGAGAGGGCATGATGGAGTAGTAAATCTACTCAGTCTTCACTTGCTTAAAAATATCATTATATTGCCTGTGCTTTAAAAGACAGTTTAGCTGGATATAAGATTCCAGCTTAAAAGTGAGTTTAGCACTTCAAAAATAATGATCGATTCAATGTTGCTATTAAGAAATAAGATTTTAATCTAAATATTATTTCTGTAGGGGTGATCTGTATGTTCTCTTGGAGAGCTTGTTGCTTTTTCTTCTTCTTCTTTGATGTTCTTAAATATAATTATGCTAAGCGATTTTTTCTGTATAGATTCTATTAGGCATTCCATAAGAACCATGGACATGAATCTATTTTTATTTTTTATTCTATTATTATTTGCTTTTTTAAACACTTTCTCACCTTATTTTTTTCTCTCCTTTCATGACTGCCTATTTTATTTATGTCAACAGGTGCGCTTCTAGCATCTTATTTTAACTTTTATGCTTTCTATAACTCTTCCTACCTGCTCCCTACCTTTTCAGAGTTCTTTACCCTAGCTCACCAATTTGTTCTTAAGTTATATCCATAGTGCTTTCTATTCCACTCCTTAAACTCTTTGTATCCAGTATTGCATATGTTTTACCTGGTTTTTCCACGTGATTCTGCCTTGTAACTGCTTGTTTCTGCTTCACCGCCAATATCCTTGCATGTTACAGGCAGTGTTTCTTTCACTCCTCAGGCCCTTGCTTCCAGCCTCCTGAAGAGTTGAAGGAGTTAGACACGTGGCCCAGAATAGAGACCTCCTACACCAAAGTCTGGGCTTGGCTGGCCCATTTGCTTTGTAATCCCAAAGCCTCACTTCACAGCAGCTTTCTGTCTACACAGCCAGGCATGGGTCTTCCCCAAGAGGTTGTCTCCCTTCCTCCATCCTTTGTGGATAAGGAAGGAGATGATGCTGGAAGTCCCCAGCAGCCAAGCTGTCTGCTTGCACTGCTTGTTCAGGCATCTCTATCTTGCCCTCAGGGTGATACTTCCTCACTGACCCCAACATGGCTGAGTTGACTGTGCTATTTTTCTATCTCAAAGAGATCAAAGGGTTGGCAGAGATATTCCAAGTATAATAAGGAAAAAATAAAAGATAAAATACACAAGCTCCCGTCTGACATCCACCCCACTAAACGTGGTATGCAAGCGTCCTTTCAGCCATGCTAAGTCATAACTGCCCACAGTCTTCCCAGAGTTTCTCAGAATGTCTATATTACTGTTCAGGTCTATTCATCTATCCTTAAT